ATTTCCCCCATGGGACACAAACAACAGGCGCCATGTCATAAGCACGCCCCTACAAGAGAAAGCTCCTGATTGGTTAACGCGGCACAAATGTCCACTGAAGTTTAGATTTTTGAACTTGGGCAATTTGCATGAAACGTGCATTAACGTGCTGCCTCAATCGTGTGTATTGCACCGCAGGATGTCTATTATAGCGTCTTTGCATTAACTTTACATGTAAATCACTCGCACTTGACACTTCATCTGCGCCTTGTGTAAACGCAGCATTAGAATGTCACATTCTGTGGCGAGAAACATCTGGAAGGCATTGAGGTATGCCTTTATTCTTCTCGCATTAATTCATTCAAAATATTTAGGATACAACAATGGTAGATTAATTACGTGTCAACACTGTTACTGTGATATTTCAGTCCATTTTATATACTTAAAAAACAGTATTATGATGAAAATGCATAAAATGTGCTTTGGACATGTCATGTGGGGTCTGGTTTAAGGTTAGCATCTTAAGCTAAAGTTCAGAATGATGGAAAACATCAAATCTTTTACCGTCAGCTCGGTTACGTCAATTCTGTTACAGTCAACTCTGTTATTGTCAACCTTGTTACTGTTAATCGTGTTGTCAACTCTTATCATCAACTCTTTTATTGTCAACTGTTATTGCCAGCCGTTACGATCTACTCTTAACTTCAACTCTGTTACTGTCAACTGTGTTATTGTCAGCTCTGGTACCATCAACTCTGTTAGCGTCAGTTTTGTTACTATCAACTGTGTTACTATTAACTACTACTGTCAACTGTTATCATCAATTTTTTTACTGTCAACTGTTATTGTCAACTTTGTTACCACCAACTCTTTTACTGGCGACTCTGTTACCATCAGCTCTGTTATTGTTAACTCTGTTATCATCAAGTCTTTTACTTGCAGTTCTGTTATTGGCAACGCAGTTATTGTCAACTGTGTTATCAACTCTGTTACTGTCTATTTTTAAGTTCAACTCTGTTAGTGTCAACTGTGTTATTGTCAAATATTGTCAACTCAGTTACTGTAGACTCTTTTACTGTCAACTCTGTTACCGTCAACTCTGTTATTGTCAACTCTGTTATTGTCAACTCTGTTACTGTCAACTCTGTTACGTCAACTCTGTTATTGTCAACTCTGTTACCGTCAACTGTTACTGTCAACTCTGTTACGTCAACTCTGTTACCATCAACTCTGTTATTGTCAACTCTGTTATTGTCAACTTTGTTACCGTCAAGTGTTACTGTCAACTCTGTTATTGTCAACTCTGTTATTGTCAACTCTGTTATTGTCAACTCTGTTACCGTCAACTGTTACTGTCAACTCTGTTATTGTCAACTGTTACTGTCAACTCTGTTACCGTCAACTCTGTTATTGTCAACTCTGTTATTGTCAACTCTGTTACCGTCAACTGTTACTGTCAACTCTGTTACCGTCAACTCTGTTATTGTCAACTCTGTTACCGTCAACTGTTACTGTCAACTCTGTTACCGTCAACTCTGTTACCGTCAACTGTTACCGTCAACTGTTACTGTCAACTCTTTTACCGTCAACTCTGTTACTGTCAACTCTGTTACCGTCAACTGTTACTGTCAACTCTGTTACCGTCAACTCTGTTACTGTCAACTCTGTTACCGTCAACTCTGTTACTGTCAACTCTGTTACCGTCAACTGTTACTGTCTACTCTATTACCGTCAACTCTGTTACTGTCAACTCTGTTACTGTCAACTGTTACTGTCAACTCTGTTACCGTCAACTCTGTTATTGTCAACTCTGTTACCGTCAACTGTTACTGTCAACTCTGTTATTGTCAACTCTGCTACTGTCAACTGTTACTGTCAACTCTGTTATTGTCAACTCTGCTACTGTCAACTCTGTTACCGTCAACTCTGTTATTGTCAACTCTGTTACCGTCAACTGTTACTGTCAACTCTGTTATTGTCAACTCTGCAACTGTCAACTCTGTTACCGTCAACTCTGTTATTGTCAACTCTGCTACTGTCAACTCTGTTACCGTCAACTCTGTTATTGTCAACTCTGTTATCGTCAACTGTTACTGTCAACTCTGTTATCGTCAACTGTTACTGTCAACTCTGTTATTGTCAACTCTGTTCCCGTCAACTGCTACCGTCAACTCTGACTATCAACTGTGTTGTCAACATTCTTACCGTCAGATCTGTTATTGTCAACTCTGCTACTGTCAACTTTATTATTGTTAACCTTGTTACTATCAACTCTTTTACTGTCTCTTTTAATTTTACTGTTGCCCTAACTTTATTACTGTCAACTGTTATTGTCAACTCTGTTACCATCAACTCTGTTACTGTCAGCTCTGTTATCATCAACTCTGTCACCACCAACTGTTATCTTCAACCCTGCTACCATCATCTCTGTTATCGTCAACATTGTGACTGTCAGCTCTGTTATGTTTTTTTGATTAAATCAACAATTAAAACAGCAATTAGCAGCAGAATCAAATGTTCACGCTTAAGCTTTATGTATTCATTTCAATTGCATTCGGTTTTCTGTGACTTACACAATTGTAGCACGTCATTCCAGTTCATAAGGAAAAGTGAATAGGAAATGCTTGAAATGAGTTCTGCAATGAGTCTTATGCTAATCTAATTGCTCCACAGCTCCTCATGTAACCCTCTCTGGAAGTGATTGGTATCGCCGCCGGGGCCCATACAAGAAATCCTGGGTTAAGATCCCAGGGGTTAATTAGCACTCCACAATTAAAGAAGAATGACACATTTAAGAGGGCTTTCGCTGGAAATTTAACTGCACAACTGCTGGAACTAATGGAAGCTAAAGAAGCCGCGACATGCAGCTCCACTAAATTGGATTTCACAGATGCACCATTATTTCGGTGTCAATGTCATGCACGTGTGTGAAACGCTGGGGCAAAAAAATAGTGAGTGGTATCGTCTTGCTCTGGTGCGCAGCTGAAAATCGGCTGAAGTTGGTCTTTTGTGTCAGTAGGGAAATGAGTCACGCTGGAGAAGAAGACCACATCTCTCTGACAGCCAGTGTAATTAAGAATCATTTTAAGCCCAGAAACACAGAGTTTTGGTGTTTAGGAAGTGGAGGCGTACTGTAGATGGTGTGCAATTTAAAAAAAAAAAACTTTAAAAAGCGCAATTAGGATGTTTATTTGTCATGCCTCATCATGCACGTCATTATGGCAGATGCATTAGCACTATTTCTTCTCTAAATGCTTGGATTTAAAGATTTCTGCAGCAGGAAAATTGAGGCTAAAAAGAGGCACATAGGGTGTAATGTATAAAAGTGAGACACAGCCACTGGGAAAAGGAGGAACGCTTTGAAGAAAATAACCTGAGCTTTGCCTGGAGTGGCGGCTGTCCGTGGTGCTGAAGAGTGCAGAAGCACAAATACACTGCTCAAAAACATGTGAGCGTTGGAAATTCGGACATTGTTCAAAGCATAGGGGAATAATTTACTCATATGAGTGTAGTTTAGCAGCGATATCTTCAAGAACACACACACAGGATGGACTTTAAAGGGGTAGTTCACACAGAAATTTACATTTAGGAGAGCAGTTTGGGTTTCGTTCTTCTGTTACAGAACATAAAATAAAATGTCCTGAACTTTTGGAAGCCACTGGACAACGTTGACTTCCATGTTTTTTCAATGGTGAATGCTCAGATCAAAATATCTTCTGTTGTGTTTAAGAGAATAAAGAAACTCATACTTGTTGGAAATAATTAATAATAGTAATAACTAGAATTGTACATTTCCTAAAGAAAATGTGAATGGGGTTTGCGTGGCAAATCGATGGGGTACAATGTATTTTTTTGGCTGCTAGGGTGTTCTAAGTGGTTGCTAGGTGGTTGCTAAGGCGTTGCTATGGTAATTTGGGTAGTTGCTAGGCAGTTGCTAGGGAACCCTGCGGGGCCAAACAAAACTCCACCCCTTATAAAAGTCATAGCACACCATTCCCGATAAAACCGGACGATTTGACCCCACTTTCAAGGGTCTGGGACGAAAGCTGCGGGACTAGTTACGCGCCGAAAAACGCATGGAAGAAGAAAAAAATAATAATAAGCAAAAAGAGCATAGTAATAATGGGCTTTGCCTATGGCAAACCCCATAAATAACTTACATTTATATAGCACTATTCTAGACACTCAAAGTGCTTCACACAAGGGGGGGGGGGGGTGTCTCTTCATCCACCACCATTGTGTAGCATGCACCTGGATGACGCGACCATATTGTGCCAGACCCGCACACCACACACCAGCTGATTGATGGAGAGAAAAGAATGATGAAGTCAATTATGGTTTGAGGATGGTTAGCAGGCCATGATGGACAGAGGCCAGTGGGCAAATTTGGCCAGGATGCCAGGGTTAAACCCCTACTCTTATTCGAAGGACATCCTGGGATTTTTAACGACCACAGAGAGTCAGGATCTCGATTCAACATCTCATCCGAAAGACGGCGCTCACTGAGCAGTATAAAGTCCCCAACACTATACTGGGGTGTTAGCACCCACACAGACCTAGCCTAGCTTTCCCATGCAGTCTCCCATCCAGCTACTGATCAAGTGCAGCCCTGCTTAGCCTCAGTGGGCGACCATGTGAGAGTTGTAGAGAGCTAGCTGCCGAGTAAACGATGACAAACATTACATTTTTTGGTGATATTTTAGGTGGTTCTTCTAATAAAGATAGAGTTTCTGAATTTGCTGTTCCAAATTGTACATCTTGAGTAAATCTGTCTTGCTTTTTAAATCCAAATTTTTAAACCATCACTTCAAGTTAAAACACGGAAATAATCCAGTCCACAATTACTGTTTATATTGAAAATATGTAATTTTGAGTGTTTTTCGACTAAATCAGTGACATCATTTATGAATTTGGCAATTAGTTAAAATCCTGTAATTTTCTAAACAATTTCGTAGTAACAAGGGTTAACGCTTCTAAATTTGTGATCAACAGAAAGTCATACCAGTTTTGGAATGAATATAGGTGATGACAAATGATGGAAAAATTGTAATTCTGGAAATAAAATAGTTAATAATTCTCTCAGATCTTCACAAAAGGAGTGGACCGCGTATGTTAACGGAGGCGGGAGCGCGCAACAGTAGACGCGCGCGCCACACGGGAGCGCGCTATTCAGCTTGAAAGTCTCAGAACTGTTCAGTCTCACTGAACACTGACTTGTCATCTTCATGGAGTTTCCCTCAGGAAGAAGAAGAAGAAGTCATTGTGTTTTTCGGCTTCAAAGATGCGCGGTGTTTGGAGACTCCGGCGGGGAGGTTTTTTTTTTCCCGCCGCGCGCTGAAGTTAACGCTCCCCTGAAGGGATGAAAACTCTCCTGTCATCTTCGGCAGCGGGAAAAGCTTCACACGATGACTTCAGACCTGTTGCTGCTTCGCCAAATGTCCTCGATCTGACCATGGTTACCTGCTTCAATACCTCCGGCTCCAACGGCACGACCGTCAGCCCGGCGGAGGCTCCGTTTCCCGGCTACACGATGGTGATTCTGGCGATACTGATGGCAACTCTGGTGGTCGTGGTGGTGGTGGGAAACGCGCTGGTTATTCTCGCTTTTGTCGTGGACAAGAGCCTCAGAAACCAGTGCAATTACTTCTTCCTTAATTTGGCCATCTCAGACTTCCTTGTTGGTATGTAGATTGGTATAATAAACATATATGCAGTCGTTTATGGAGTGCGCGCATGTCATTGAATGAGAGTCCCTTTGTTCCACAGGATCAAATCTTACTGTAAAGTTTACTGTACATCTGTGGGAATTTGGTCTCTGGGAGAAGTTTGATTGATTAGGTGATTAGATGGTGCGCAGATCGATCAAACTGGGTATGCCAGATACACGAGACAGTACAATGTGTACATATTGCATTAAACGTGTTGGCTTTGTATAATATTGACTCGGGATTTCTCACGGAACAGTTTTATTGTTCATATATTCATCTTAAAATGTATTATTATTAATAAATATAATTAAATATTGCCTCTATACATTAGAATGTGTGTTTTATCATGCATTTTACCATGACTTAATTTAAGGACCAATAGTTTTGACCCCAAAATAATTGTCATTTGAAATGCATACACTTGCTGTATATTCTTTACCGCCCAATTTCCAACAAGAAGTTTTTTATTTATCTAAAATACAATAAAATTTAGTATACTTATACGTTTTGTGAAGTGCTGGACATGATAAACATGTTGTTGCACGTATAAATATACCTGTTAAACTCAATGACCCATAATCTGACATTACATTTTCTCAAAAATCTAACTGAAACATTTGACGTAGACACTTTTCTAGCATTTAATATGCTTTCTATTTTCTTCTCATTTAATGTAATGTGATTCAGTCTCATCTTATCAGCCAAAGTAGACAGACTTCAAAAAAGAACAACATATTGGTTCGGGTGACTGTACATTTCGTTCTCGCCCCGTTGTGCAATTCAATATTCATTAGCATGGGCCGTTGTCAATTACTGAACACAAATTGTTATAGCCGTGCTTACTTTTAGAGCTTATCTCCATCCGTAATGCCGATTACCAAATGGCTCAGAGTCTCACTTTATTACTTTGCAGGAAATGGATTCAGAGTGAATTATTAATTAAGCCACATTTCTCCGGTTTTGACTTCATCCCGAGAGCAAAAACACTGATTAGATCACTCTTAACACACTCAAAAAAAAAACAAAAAGTCAATTTCCGACAAGCAATACAAAACTAGTCGATCAGACGCCTCAAATTTAGAGAGCTGCTCACTTGTTTGCATTGGTCTGATCATTGGTGAGATGCTTCCATTCATAAATACACTCAAATATGTTTGGTTATTTGGAAATTTTGAGTGTATTTGACCTCATTTTGCATTGAAAAGCCAACTTTGGTTAACCTTAAGAAAATTTGGTTTCACAAATTACCATCAGACCATATATATTGGCCATTTATATGAAACCCTGGACTACAAGACCACTTTTGTAGTACATGGTCCACTTACATGGTGACAAATACACTTAAAAATTTTTGGTTATTTGGGAATTTGGATTGCATTTTACATCATTTGGAACTAAAAACCCAACTTTGGTTGACTTAAAGCAAACTTGATCACAGTTGCCAATCGAACTATACATTCTTGCCATTTATATTCGACCCTGGACTACAAGTGCTACTTTCGAGATACACAATCACAAGTACATTTATAAATGTTTGGTTATTTGGGATTTTTTTGTTTTCCTGAAGTTAACTAGATTGCATTTCCCTGTACATTTTAAGATATTGTATCTACAACAGTGATATGTATCAATAGAAAGCTAATTTATTCAGCAAATAATGTGTAAAAATAGACTCTTATGACTTGTTTTGTGGTCCATAGTCAAAAATACAATTAAAATTGTTTGGTTATTTGGGAACTTTGAGTGTATTTGACATAATTTGGTATTATAAACCCAACTTTGGTTAACCTAAAGCAAACTAGGTTTCACAGTTTACCCTCTGACCATCTATTTTGGCCATTATTATGAGACCCTAGACTACAAGACCACTTTTGTAGTACATGGTCACAAATACACTTAAACATGTTTGGTTATTTGGGAATTTTGTGTGTATTTGACATAATTTGGCATTAAAAACCCAACTTTGGTTAACCTAAAGCAAATTACTGTAGGTCACAATTTACCATCAGACTTTTGTTTCGGCCATTTATATGAGCCCCTGGACTACAAGACCACTTTTGTGGTACATGGTCACAAATACACTTGAAAAGTTTGGTTATTTGGGAATTTGGGGTGTATTTTACATAATTTGGCATTAAAAACCCAACTTTGATTGACCTAAAGCAAACTAGGTTTCACAGTTTAACATCAGACCATATATTTTGGCCATTTATACGAGACTACAAGACCACTTTTGTAGTACATGGTGACAAATTTGAAAGTTTTGGTTGACCTAAAGCTAACTAGATTGCAATTCCCTATACTTTTTAGACATTTATATCTAAAATAATGCCATCTATCAATAAGAAAGCTAATTTGTTTAGCAGATAATGTGTAAAAAATGGACTCTTATGACATGTTTTGTGGTCCATAGTCACAAATACACTCAAAAATATTAGTTTATTTGGGAATTTTGAGTGTATTTTACATCATTTAGCATTGAAAGCCCAACTTTTCTTAACCTAAAGCAAACTAGATCACAATTTATCATCATACCATATATTTTGGTCATTTAAATAAGACCCTGGACTACAAGACCACGTTTGTAGTACTTTGGTTAACCTAAAGCAAACTACAGTAGGTCACAATTTACCATCAGACTCTGTATTTTGGCTGTTTATATAAGACCCTGGACTACAAAACCACTTTTAGTATATAGTCACGAATACACTTAAAAATGTTTGGTTATTTGGGAATTTTGGCTAACTAGATTGCAATTTCCTGTACATTTTAGACATTTATATCTAATTAGTACCATATATCAATGGAATATGTATATATATGTATATATGTGTATATATATATGTATATATGTGTATGTATATATATATATGTATATATATATATATATATAAACACACACACGCAAATAAAAATATTCACATTTAACGCATTACATTTTTTAAATAACTTTCTTTTTAAACATGGTAAAATTTAACATTTCATCTCAATGTCAAAAAATGCTTCTAAATCATCACATTTACACATTCACGTCTTTTCAGTTTTAGGTTTCTTCTCAATTTTGTGTGGTGCAGCCTTATTTAGTTGACTTTAGTGATTTAGTGTTTCTTTTTGGTTTTTCCCACTTTCAATGGAGCAGTCCAGCAAAATGACAAAGCTGATCTTATACACACACACACACACACACACACACACACACACACACACACACACACATCATGAAAATAAGTTGTCATTTAATAAGAATATGTCAATAACTCAATTTTGACAAAATGTCAGACAGAACCTATAATTCTAAGGTGACGATATATCAAAACCAACACAATCTCACGGCAATTCGTAGCTTTTTAATTTAGTGGCTAATTCATCTGAATTCGTACGATCTAATTCGTACAATTTAGTATGATTTGCTCATCCCCCAATGACGGTTGGGGTTAGGGGTGGGGTTAGGTGCCACGCCTCCTTTTTAAAATCGTACCATTTCGTACAACTGAACTTGTACGAATTTGTACGAATTAGCCACTAAACTGGCAAAACGCAAAATACTTACGTTTTCTCGTGAGATCGGGCTGATCAAAACCTAATGTCTGATTAGTAATATGCATCGCTGAAACTTAATTTGGACAGGTTTAAAGGCGATTTTCTTAATATTTAAGTTTGTTTAAGCCCTCAGAATCCAGAATTTCAAATAGTTTCCTTTTAACCAAATATTATCCAATTCCTATAAACCACAAATCAATGGAAAGCTTGTTTATTCAGCCGATCATGCGTCAGATTGGCCCGTTTGGGAGTGAAAACCCAACTATGGTTGACCAAACTATATGCCTACACTTTAGCCGTTTATACCTAAAACACCACCATGCTTTCTTAGCACAGCAGGGTGTGAGGTTGAATAAATGGACGACCTTTAGTTTTCTGCTCCGGCATCATAAATTATTGGCTTGGATTAAGAGTGCATTAAGAGACCAGATCCTATCTGCGCTTCATTTCAAGATCCGCACGGCGTCTCGGTCTATTCAGCAAACCCTCCTCTGTCTGCTTGAGTGTTTATTTGCGGCTCACAGGCATTAGCGCTCGTGGCTTTCGCTCTTTGAGAAGGAAAAAAAAAAACTTGGTTATATCTCTATTGGCGAGAGAGGAGGGTGGCGCTCCACCTGAAAACATGCCCACGTAGTTCAGATAAAGAGCCCAAACCGAGCGGCCGCTTTTCTCAAATGCCAAGCAGCTCAGAAGCTCTAAATAACAGAGCCACGGCTGCGTATTTGACAGTGTGATAGATGTGAAATCTCGCCGTCCTTCAAAGACTCGCCGGTGATGAGATTGCTGTTTTGTGTGCTTTTGTGCGAAATGCTTCCAGGAAGAGAACGGCAAGAGAAAGAGGTGTGGAGCGCAGAGAGGAGTCAGCGTTCCCTTTGCTGCTCGATGGCTTTTTGATAATGGCTCTGGGTTTGGTGGTCGTATTGTGAAGCGACTCCTCCGTGACATGATCCCCTATTGTATGCTGGCCTTGTGAAGCTCGCGGCCATTGATTCAACACAGGATCATTGGAAATACATGCCTTGAGCTACATTTTTTCATTAGAATATACTTCACTGTATGTTTGATTCAGTCGAACTCCATGGGGCAGTATAATGACTTGAACTTTCATTCCTTTTTACATTGATGATACTTTCAGGGACACATTATTGACGAATAACGCGATTATTTTTGTGCAATTCTTTGCACAACACCAAACTATATATTTTAGCCATTTAAAGGGCCATGACACCCCCCTCTTTCGGTTAAAGTCTACTTCAGAATTTTTTCAAAAGATGCATGATTAATGGGCGGAGCTCCGCCAGCATCGGGCAGGAGTGGGCGTGGCCAGCAGGGGAGAAGAGGAGCGAATAACTGCTGTTGTCAATTAGCTCACAAAATGAGACACAAAGAGGAGACGCATGAGTTTATAGTTTACAAAGTTAAAATGCAAAGAAATGAACAGTGATTTAATGCCCTGCTACATTTGTTTTTCGTAATTTCATATACACAACCACAATTTATATCATTATAAAGATAAGTGTGTTCATGTAAACACTATAAATGAGGACTTCTCCCTCAATCCCCGTATCCAGCAGACTCAGTGCAGCAGGTCTCCTGACCCGTCTATTTTAACCGTTAGCCCTGCTGGTAATCTGGAGGATTTAGGCAAACACAGCAGCACGGCGATGTGTCTGAATGTGAACGAACTCCTGATAAAAGACAGCGTCCGCCATTCTCTAATTCTCGTGCTGCTCTCCCGACAAAAATGCTAGCAGCACACACACAGCTTTGCTGTATGATCGGCCCTGACAAGATCGCGGGGGAAAACATGCAACAAACCCCGTGGATGATGGAAACAAACGCATATGAGCCTTCATGAACGGCTAAATACTGTGCCGTGGTTTCCGTGTCTCTCAGCTCGGGCTTGATTCTGGCAGGTCTCATGAATAATTAAGCAGCCGGCTCTTCTCATAGGATAAGAAAACTCCGCTATGAATAATAATGAGAAACCGACGCGTCATCATTGCACTTGCAGTTCTGCGATACGTCGCCGATTTTGATCCCGCCCCAATAATCATTTTAAACCCGGAAGCTGAAATTAGCTGACAAAAGCTCAAAATTATCCAGTTTTCCCCACAATTAAAGCTGACAGGTGCTAACATTGTCTTAACTGATGCTCAACACACACACATCTGTTAATATATAAAAAAAAGTTCTCCGGGGTGAACCTTTAAATAAGACCCTGGACTACAAGAGCACTTTTGTAGTACATGGGCACAAATACACTTAAAAATGTTTGGTTATTTGGACATTTGGGTTGACCTGAAGATAACTAGATTCTGTAACGACCGGGGAGGGAGTGACAGATACAACTGAGGTAAGATCCAATATGCAGGTTTATTCAGCGTCAGGCAAGCAGTGGTCATACAGGTGCTAAAGGGTATATTAGGGCAGTCCAGAATCATGAACGGTAAACAGGCAAAAGGTCGAAAGGCAGGCGGCTAAACAGGATAACAAGGATACAAGGCTAGGTTCAAACACGGAGAAACAAGACAGGGAGAAACGTGTTGTAATGTCACTGGAGTAGTAAACAAGACGGGTTCATGAGTGGCTTATAAGTGGTGTGATATCAGTCTCTGACAAGGTGCAGCTGGTGATTGTAATCAGGGTAGATGAATGAACAGGCGTGCGTGACTGGAAGAAGTGCATGTATTTAAATGTAGTCCTGGGATATGCGGAAGTGTAGTCCTGGTAAAGTGGAAACCAGCGATCTTCAGAGAGCGATCGCTGGTTCTCGTAACAGATTCCAATTCCCCATATATTTTACACATTTATATCTAAAATAATGCCATCTATCAATGAGAAAGCTAATTTGTTTAGCAGATAATGTGTAAAAAATTTAGTCTTATGACTTGTTTTGTGGTCCATGGTCACAAATACACTCAAAAATATTAGTTTATTTGGGAATTTTGAGTGTATTTGACATCATTTGGTATTGAAAACCTAACTTTGCTTAACCTAAAGCAAACTAGATCGCAATTTACCATCAGACCATATATTTTGGTCATCTATATGAGACCCTGGACTACAAGACCACGTTTGTGGTGCATAGTCACAAATACTCTTAAAATGTTTGGTTATTTGGGAATTTTAGTTGACCTGAAGCTAACTAGATTGCAATTCACTATACATTTTAAACATTTATATTGAAAATAATGCCATCTATCAGCAGACAATGTAAAAAAAATGGACACTTATGACTTGTTTTGTAGTATATGGTCACAAATACGCTTAAATATGTTTGGTTATTTGGGAATTTCGGTTGACCAAAAGCTAACTATATTGCAATTCCCCATACATTCTTGACATTTATATTTAAAATAATGCCATCTATCAGTTGGAAAGCTAATTTATTTAGTGGATAATCTGTAGTAAAAATGGTTATTTGGAAATTTGTATTGTATTTTACATCATTGGCACTAAAAAACTTTGGTTGACCTGAAGCTATAAGACTGCAATTTTCCATTGAGCAATACATTTTGACCAACTATATGTAACCCTGGACTTCAAATCAATGTTATGTTGCATTGGATATTTTCAATATTATTAAGTAAAGATTCATAAAGACATTTTGTAAATATCCTATCATACATATATCAAACAAATAACAAGATTAAATAACAGATAACAAGATTAAATGACAAATAACAGATTATTTTGTGCAGTTATTTGCACAACACCAGGCCATATATTTTAACCATTTAAATGAGGCCCTGGACTACAAGACCACTTTAGTGGTACATAGTCACCAATACACCAAAAAAATTTTTGGTTATTTGGGAATTTCGGTTGACCTGAAGCTAACTAGATTGCAATTTCCTATATATTTTAGACGTTTATATCTAAAATAGTGCCATCTATCAATGAGAAAGCTAATTTGTTTAGCAGATAATTTAAAAAATATGGAAAAATATGGTAAAAAATAATGTAAGAAATATTATGACTTGTTTTGTAGTACATGGTCACAAATACACTTAAAAATGTTTGGTTATTTGGGAATTTTGAGTGTATTTGACATCATTTGGTATTGAAAACCCATTTTGGTTAACCTAAAGCAAACTTGGTCACAATTTACCATTAGACTTCAAAGATAGACGCGATCTGGAGCTCCTGGAGAAAGTGAAACCGTTCCCACTTTTAGACAGGCTCGTAAACAACAACAGGACACGGCAGATTTTGTTCTTCTTAGCTTTCTAGCTGTTCATCAAGACGACGACAAGGTTTGATTGAGCTCGGGTCAACCATGGTTTGTTATTATGCATATATTATAATGGTGTAATGTCTCGGCTGTGTTTTTAAACATGGCGCTTCCTTTGTTTTCATTCTCTGTTAACCAATAGCGTTCAGCTGTGCGTCTAGCTCCGCCTTATGGTATCCTTTTGGCCTGTTGGTACCCTTTGCAAAGGGTGACCAAAAAGTGGTACGGTACGGTTCGCTTTTGGGTACCCTTTGACATTAATTGGTTTGCCAAGCCCACATATCCATGTGGAGCACATTTAGAATTGCACAGTATTTTCTAAAAAGAATAGAGTGCTTATGTTGTGTTAATGTAATGTGTAATGTGTGTATTTATATAACGCATTTATTGTGTATGGCCATACACCCAAAGCGCTTCACAATCATTAGGGGGTCTCTCCACACCACCACAAGACAAGGAATGCGCGAATAAACCGTGCTAATTGCACATAAACAGACGCATGAACATTTTAAATTTCCTCACTTCATTTGCGCATCAAATCCGCTTCACAATAGATGGAGATTTGCGTCATGGGCGGGGCTTCTGTCTGTCCGATGACTCTAGCTTCATTGCTAAATGGCTAACATGGATTTTATTGCGAGAATAGCTGTGTTTAGGTGCTTTAGGAAGTCTGAAAAACACAGTATATTTGTTTGGCGCCGTGTCTGAGTCCACTAAATGAATTAAAAGGTGCACCAACTCTGTCAGTTCATCAACTCCTCCAGAAACTATACCTGGATGATGAAGGCTTTTAGTGGTGCTTCTGACAGAGCCGAGCCCAGTTTGATCAACTGTTGTCCAGTGTCTGCAGGATGATTTCCTCTCGACACCAACAACAGGCGCTACGTCATAATCACGCCCCTACAAGAGCAAGCTTCTGATTGGTTAACGCAGCGCGAATGTCCGCGTTGCCGAACTGCATTGTAGATTGTTAGTGCCACTTCAGGGGCGTTGCTTGCTACAGAAGTTAGGACTTTCTCAACTCTTTAAGTGCCGACAGAAGCGTCAGCCAATCAGATCGCTGTATGCAAATACACCAGCTTAGAAGGTAGCCGATTGGTGACTTATTTCATTGTCTGACACTGCTATGGTGATCGCGTCAGCCCCAATTTCAGACACGCCCTCTTTCAAGCATTGACGCTGAAGCCCCGTTTGAATCGGGCGTAAGGCTCCTATATGTGATTTATCAAGCCCACTCGTCTGTATGGAGCACACTCAGAATTGCACAATATTTTCAAGATTTATAGAGTGCAGTAATTTATTTTGAGATTCGCAAAACTGTAGACAGCACCCTCTAGTGGAGTCGTCTTTAGAACCTGCAACATAACCTAAGCATCGTATATGACATTTCGCAAAAATTGAGCCCAAAGTATGCATTTCTACTGTTCCTGGGTTGCATTGATTGTTATTTCCATCCTACATTTGCATAACGCAGTGAAATGTGTCTCTTTCCAGGAGCTTTCTGCATCCCGCTCTATATGCCCTACATTTTGACGGGCAGATGGATGCTGGGTCGTGGACTCTGCAAGCTGTGGCTGGTGATGGACTACTTGTTGTGCACGGCGTCTGTCTTCAACATTGTCTTAATCAGCTATGATCGGTTCCTGTCTGTAACCAGAGCTGTAAGTACCAACACCCAACCAGCCGACTATATTTATATATACTATACTAAATTTATATTTAGCAGCCTCGTTTGACTAAAAAAGCCCCTCAGATTATCTGAGAACAGTGGTATTAAATTGATATGACAAGTGTAAGTTAGTTAATTTTCTCTCTATGCCACTATTCCAACCCGGGCTCATTGTGGAAACGTAGTCCCGCGGACGTTTCTGGAGACCGCGGAATACGTCCCGGCGGGTACGTACGGCTGCAGTTTTTGTTTTCGCAAATCTGTGAGAGGCCGCTGTTGCGCGCTTTTTCTCACCATAGACGAACCGCGCTCGCGCTGTTCTCGCGTGAACCCGCCGGAGGCCGCTGTCCGACTGACTGGATGATTGACTGCACGACCGGCCAATCGGCCGACTCACCCTCCTCCTTCCCTGAACCCGACCGATTTTACAAATTGACCTGCCCGCCCGCTCGCTTCCCTAAACCCGAGCAACAGTTCACAAAAGCCATCCAAAAAAATAAAAGCCCTGATTTTTTTTCTTTTATTCCACCGCGTTTTCGGATTTCGCCGCATTCTCACCCTGTCACGAAACTCATTCACTTAATTCTTGGGATTCTGTTTTTGTCTTACCTGATTGCTGGAACTGCTCTTTCCCGGACTCGAAACCGGTCACCATGGTCAACCCCTCTCCGCATCTCGAGCCTGCCAACGTACACGCTGAGCTGAGTGGACAAACGGGTTGCAGCGGGGAAGCCCTCCACAAGGAGGTAAGGCAAGCGTGAAAGGGAACAGCGTCACACCGCCCCGCAACGTTCGCTTGAAAAAAAATAAACGCGGCCTACGTACCCCCCGGGACGTATTCCGCTGTCTCCAGAAACGTCCGCGGGACTACGTTTTCAGAATGAGCTTGGGTTGCACTATTCCCTACATTAGTCCACTAATATAGTCCACTTAAAAGAGTGAATGAAAATGAATGAGTGAATCGGAGCAATGAATGGACGCCATTTTGTTTGTGTTTTGCTGATTGATAAGCTGTGTCTGAAACCGCATACTTCAATACTATACAGTACGCTAAAATCAGTATGCGAGCCGAGTAGTTCGTCCGAATTCATAGAATTCGAAAATCAGTATGCGAGAAGTACCCGCATGACTTACTACTTCCAGCGAGATTCTGAAGTGCGCATCGCATGAATGCTGCGCTATCCCATGATGCCCCGCGAGAGAATTAATGAATGGGAGTGAAGCGACGCAACTGACGTGGTAGGTCACGTGACCATGACAAAATGGCGGATGTAATACATCGCCATTCCATTAATACTTTTCACATTCATACTGTATAGAACGTACTTTTCCAACGGCGAGTAGTACGTTTAAATTCAAATGCAGTTCCTACTGAGTAGTAGGCGGTTTCAAACGCAGCCATAGCCTCTGAGACGGATTACATTTAAAACATTTGGTGAGACTCAATGGTAGTTATTTAACACTTAGCGAGCTAATGAAACAAGGTATTTTGATTTCGATCATGTATACAAACATTATTTTAAGTAGTATTTTATTTTTAAATTCACACCGATAGGATTCCGATGTGGACACCATCTTGTGGTCACATATGGAAATTCCTTGCCGTGCAAACTGTCACAGTGCATTATGGGTATTTCTAGCTTTTGGGTGCACATGGGTTGTTCACTCGTTATTGTGGGATTGAGTTGACTTCAGAACATCCACTAAGGTTTTAGACATCACTACAAATGCTCCGTTGAATATTGCACTGATTAAGGGGGTAAAGGAAAGGATTTTGAACACAGACAATGTTTTCCAAGAAGTACGGGGTTCTTATAGGGTGTCTGATGCATACGGAGAGGAGAGAGTGTGTCCCCAATATGTGGTTTGTTGAGCCCACTCATCTGTGCGGGGCACACTCAGAACCGCACAATATTTCCCAATACATATAAGATGCTTATAAGGTGTCTGGGGCATGAGGAGAGGTAAAAACCTACAGGAAAAAAACAGACTAATTGACTAACACCCGAAAATAAACATTCGTAGAAGTTCAAACCTGCAGTTGTGTCACAAATTCTGCAATATACAGTATAATATATGCAATGTAACAGTGTTTTCAATTCAGAAGGACTCTTTCCTAATCCCTTCTAAGGAGTGACATCTCTGAAGGGATTCTGTCAGTCTTTGTTAATTGTATTCTTGTAATCTTCATACACTTGTTGCAGTTATTAAAAGCATAATAACTCCTTTGTTGAATTCCTGTCTGCTAGGGTTTTTGGAGGGTGGTATGGGTTTTGAATGTTAAAATAGAGATCTCCTGGCTAAAAGGTGAAGGCATGAAAGCGCATCTAAAAGACGTTGAATTATTTATTTACCCAATGATTGAGGTAAACATATTTTGGTGCATTGTTGGGTTATCGTTAACCTTTATTGGGTTATTTAATAATAACTTAACCAGTTGGGTTAAATATTTGGTGCTATGTTGGGTTATTTTTAACCTTCATTTGATTATTTATATAATAACTCAACTAGTTGGGGTACAATTTTGAATTTCAACAGTCAACTGATTACTGAACATTAACATGCGTACGTAATGTTGTTTTTGCGTTATAAAGTTTATTTAAGCTCTGACGCAATAATATTGTTGTTATTTTTTGTATTAAATTACCTCTCTAATTACCTATCTGTTTCACCAGCACTTTTAATTATTGATGATACAAACGCACGCTTCATAGCCGATCTGTATTAAATGGATGAAACGCTTTCTCTACCTTCCGTGTTTATCTCTACAGTTTCTTTTTTGGAGGAAATGAAACACATATTTGGGATATCCAGCCACCATTCTCACCTTTAGGACCTAGCGGAGACATTTATTTATTTACACAGCCATAATTATAAAATTAATAGTGGTTCAAGTAATAGTAATACAAGAATGTTAAAAATAACATTTGATCAAAATAACCCAACGCATTGGGATAAATTAACATAATAGCACCTTCCCATAATAGGGGAACCTATAGTTGAATTTTCATTTACATTTAGTCATTTAGCAGACGCTTTTATCCAAAGCGACTTACAAATGAGGACAAGGAAGCAATTTACACAACTATAGGAGCAACAATGAGTAAGTGCTGTAGGCAAGTTTCAGGTATGTAAAGTTAAAGAAGCCAAAACATTAGTAATTTTTAAATTTATTTTTGAGTACAGTTAGCGGTGGAGTCAGAGAGGCAATTGCAGATTAGGAAGGGAAGTGGAGACTAAATAGTTGAGTTTTTAGTGGTTTCTTGAAGACAGCGAGTGACTCTGCCATTCTGATGCAGTTAGGGAGTTCATTCCACCAACTGGGCAGATTGAACGCGAGAGTTCGGGAAAGTGATTTCTTCCCTCTTTGGGATGGAACCACGAGGCGACGTTCATTCACAGAACGCAAGTTTCTGGAGGGCACATACATCTGCAGAAGTGAGAGCAGATAAGAAGGAGCAAAGCCAGAAGTCGCTTTGTAAGCAAACATCAGAGCTTTGAATTTGATGCGAGCAGCAACTGGCAGCCAGTGCAAACGGATGAGCAGTGGAGTGACGTGTGCTCTTTTTATTTATTATATTATGAATTATATGTTAAGGTATTTTTAACCCAACTATTTTAACAGAGATGCTTTGGAAACTTTTGAGTTCAAGACTATAAATACACCAAGAATGTTCACTAATATCTGTTTGTGATAACTAGGACCACCCAGAATCTGGGCGCGCAGAATTCCACAGATTTTCCGCAGATTTCTGTAGGTTTTTAGCTCATCATTAATTCTGTTTATTTACTTTAGTAAGTGTGTGTAAATCTATATTTATTCAGTGATTTAATTAATTTTTGTAATATTATTGACTAATGTGAAAATGTTTATCTGATTTATGTACAATGCAGTTTGTACAGTAATATTTTCTGTGTTTTAGTACACACACATATATATATATATATTATATGAGAGACTTGCTTTATTTACCAAATAAAGTGAATCTAATTGGATTTGCATTTTAAACATTAAATAAAAGTTTAAAAGATATTATTTTTAATATATATAGTAAGGTTTTAGTTTCCAAAAATAAATCCGCAGAAATCCGCAGACTTTTACCAAAATTCTTAGCAGAAATAGCTAAAAACATCCACAGATTCCATCTTGCCCTGGTGATAACACTATGCAAAATGGTGGAATAGTCCTACCTTAATTATAAATGAGCCAATCTCCAACTGCAGCTGCCGTCAGAAGCTCCAGTTCCAGATGAAACCATAGGACTGCACTGGCAGGACCGACCTGAAATATAAGCTTATTTTAGAAACCATTTCAATTTACGGGCATATATCAGTATATCAGGCTATTTGTGAGTTTGTCAAGCAGATTTGTCAGTCAAGGATCAATAAAAATATGTGCTTTAGCTTACATTTTTTTTTATAAATGGGGCACAATTTACTGCATGTTTCAGATGATAAATCCACTAGAGGGCGCTGTCTACATTTTTGCGAATCTAAAATTAGTTATGCACATTACAGATGACAAATACACTAGATGGCGCTATCTACATTTTTGCGACTTAAAAATGTTACATACATTTCAGATGACAAATCGACTAGAGGACACGGTCTTCATTTTTGCATACCTAAAATATGTTACATACATTTCAGATGATAAATCCACTAGAGGACACTCTCTACATTTTTGCAAATCTAAAATATGTTATGTACGTTTCAGATGACAAATGTTTTGCAATTATACAAGACGCTACATACATTTCAGATGACACGTCCATTAAAGAGTGCTGTCTACATTTTTGAGAATATAAATTACATTACTTGCATACATTGCAGGTGACGAATCCACTAGCGGGCGCTGTCTATATTTTTGTGAATCTAATATATGTTGCGTACATTTCAGATTATAAATCCAATAGAGGGCGTTGTCTACATATTTTCCTATTTGCGAATCTAAAATACATGCGTACGTTTCAAATGCCGCTGTCTTCATAT